TTAAAGTAAACACCTTTACAGTGTTTATTTCTAATTACAATAATACACTAGAACTGTCACATGCCACTTTGTCAGTAGGGTAATATATTATTGATACATTATATTGACCAAGTTATTCTCTGTAAACAAAACAAGAGCCATGTCAACATGGCCATCCCCCGCCGAATGTGTTTGCTCATTGGAAGAATGTATATGTAGTAGAGCAGAATAATTTCATTTTAAGAGGTCTTTTGGTAATGAAAACTGATCGCTATAGTGATTACAGATTTGAAACCTATGTGAATACTGATGGCTGAAAATAACAAAGGGCAATAACTGGAAAATAATGCAGGGTAGGTTATCATTCTTGTGTGCTGCATCCCTCCTCAGTAAAATCTATCCACCTATGAAGTTTCAAGTTGATACCTCAAATACTTTTTGAGAAAAAAATTGAATTGAAAAATTAAGTATGAAAAATAACAAAGGGCAATAACTCAAAAATTATAAAAGGTAGAGTTATCATTCGTGTGCACTGCACATCTCCTGAGTGAGATCTATGCACCTATGAAGTTTCATTTTGAATTCTCAAAGGCTTTTTGAGTTATGCTCTGGACAAAAATTAATCTTGAAAAATAACAAAGGGCAATAACTCAAAAATAATCCAGGGAAGAGTTATCATTCTTAAGCACTGCACTCCTCCTCAATGAGATCACTCCACCTTTGAAGTTTCAAGTTGATATCTCAAATACTTTTTGAGATAAGCTCTGGACAAAATAGCATGAAAAAGAACAAAGGGCAATAACTCAAAAATTATATAGGGAAGAGTTATCATTCTTGCGCACAACATTCCTCCTCAATAAGATCTATCCACCTATGACCTATGACATTTCATGTTGATATCTCAAACACGTTTTAAGTTATGCTCCGCTCAGGTGTAAAATTAAGTATGAAAAATAACAAAGGGCAATAACTCAAAAAATATGAAAGGTAGAGTTATCATTCTTTAGCACTACACACCTCCTCAATGAGGTCTATCCACCTGTGAAGTTTCAAAGTGATAACTCAAATACTTTTAGAGATATGCTCCTGACAAAAATGTCGGACGGAAGGACGAACGGAAGGTCGGACGGACGGAGACTATTTCTATATCCCCGCCGCCTTTTCGGCGGGGGATAATTAAATATGAAAAATTGCAAAACATAGTAAGTCATAAATTATACCATAAGAAATAATGGTTCTTAAGCAATACATTTCATTCTCTTTACTATCTATCCAAATATAAAGATTCAAGTTGTATACCTCCAATAATTTTAGACTTCTGCTCTGGATAAAGGACTAAAACTCCAAAAATAATGTCAAAGTGAGTTAAGTTTCTAGGGCACTTCATTTCTACATAATGAGGTATATCCACCTTTAAAGTTTCAAGTTAAAAATGTTATCAAACTACGCTTTGAATGGAAAGTCAATGCTAGTATTATAATGCTTGCTCATAATTATACTTATGATTATGATACATGTACTAAAATCATGCATGGAGATTCAAGTGAATATAATTAGTAATTTTGGAAATATAATTTACATTAAAAAAATTACACATAAATTTCAAAAGTACCCAAAAGGAATTTAAATCGATAAAAATATGTGCTTACTGTATGAGTCTAATTCAAATATAAAAAAAACAAGAGCTGTTTACACATTCAAATACATTTTCAAAAATTTCATAAAAATTAGCATTAATCTCAAGGCGAGCTGCTTTAAGATTACTCACCCTTTTGAAATAAATTTCTCTTTAGAGAATAACCTAGAATTTAAGGTTTCAAGTGTATAATTATCTTTGATGGTTTTCGAAAATACCAATGAAAAACTTAACTAATGACACAGGAGACCAGGCTACCACGATAACTTTCTTCAATTAGTCATGCTAACAAATCACTGTTTTGACTTTTACGCCTACCTTTCCCTTTCTTATTACAGGATGAACAAAACCATTTGCTCCTTGAACTTTTCAGAAAGACTTCAGTTCCAGTTAAATTTACACAGCCATAATGATACCAGCTATTACATATATCACAGCCAATACTGTATCCACTTTGATCAGAAGGCTCCTCTTCACAAACATTTTCACAAACAGGACAAACAGTAACATTCTGTGAAGTTTCATTTTCATGAATTTTCTTTTTTTTACTTTGTTGCTCCCTAATAGCCTGAATATTTGTACGTAATGCTTGTTCTTTCTTTCTAGGAAGAGTCCGTTTAAATTGTTTCAAACTATCAGCAATTGAAAGCCTTAAAAATGTTCTGTGACAGACTGAAACAGATCTGCAATTAAAACCAAAAATATTTCATCTTCAAATGTTTCAGTATTGACAGAAGTGAAACATATCAATCCAATCTGATAATAAATTGTTGTTACTATCTATACTTGAGCGACATGACCTGTGAATAAAATCAATAGTTAAATGCATTCTTTCATTTGTCAAAAGCAACAGTAAAATATGATAAACAAGATCAACAATGAAAGGCGGCGTTCAATGAACGCAACCCCCATATGACCCAGCAGCAAGAACCAATGGCAAGAAGACCAGGCGGACCCCAAACAAAAACAGTAAAGGGCAAAGACAGAGCACGGACAGGTTAATCATTAAATGATAAATAATTTGTAACTGATTAGGAATTCAAAGAAAATAACAATAGGCCCACAAAGGGATGTAATGCACCATTTAACTGTTTAAAAAAGTGAAAAACTTCATCATTTACTATTGTTAAACCATGAGACTTGTTCTGTTTCACTTATATTTCAGATAATGACACATCATTAATATCAACATTGCTTTCAGAAACTGCAAGCATTTTTAACATTTTGTCCTTTTTGTAGTTCAACTGTCGAGTTAATTTACTTTTGTTATCAGTTTTTCCTATAGTCCTATCAACAGTTTCTCTAACCCTTTTCCTAATTTTTCTAACACATGCTCCTGCTATGTATCTTAACTTAGCCGATCCGACATCTGGTGCCTCGGAAACAGTAGAGGAGGATGCTGATGAAGACTGCTCTGATATTAAATGTTTAGTTCCATCCTCTATAATTTGATCCATTATCCACAAAGCTAACTTAGACGAAAACTAAGTTTTGAAATTCCTAAAGTCCCGAATAGAGTTTTAATTGATTGCAAATGATCATTTCCTACCAAGAACATGTTAAGCTTTTTGTAAGATTCCATCCAAACTATATTTGTTTCAGAATTACCAGCAAATAATTGAACATGATAGTATATAAATTCAAGATGCTTTTTAAATTCATCAGAAGAAATTAAATCTTCTGAAATAATAAATACAAATTGGGCTGAATGATTGAAATCTGCAAAATCCTTGAAATCATATGGACAAGGACTACTTTGCATCACTTCTACACTAAAATCATCATCACTTGAGTCATCACTTGATGAAACAATTGTACCTGAAGACACTGGAGAAATAGTTGTAGGTATGTTTTTAGAACAACATGACAAATCTTCTTCCACTGCTCTAAATGTCTGTGTATAAAATTCATAAACTGAATCTGGATGCTTTAATGTTGCAGCTTCCAAAGAAAAGTTCTTTATGAACAGTGTGTTTTTAGCTATTGCTCGCCCAATCGCTACACCCATTTGACCAGGTGCAAAAAACGGAAGAACAGTCAACATAAGTTTTCTATATTTGTTCCTGGGCACGATGAACAGTCATAGCAAAACATAACATGAGAAGTATTTGTAATCTGGACGCCAAGTCTTATTTTGTGTAGAATCAACAATCTCATATCTTTCTGGATGTACCTGATGTAAGTTACCATTAAAATTAATTACTGGTGGGGAATCTCTTGAAAGTTAATGAACAACACCTATTTGTCCATTTAATAGCTGATTACTTAATATATTCTTAACATGTACAACTGGTGCTCCTCCTTTAAACAGAAGAGTTTTGGGAACAGACATCTTAAGTAGAAGCTGTTTGGATCCTGAAAATTAAAAGAAAATTTGAAACATTATATGATGAGTTGTTTATACAGAATTCATTTCAGTTCCATTGTGTAGGTAGCTATAAGCTTAAGACACACTTTCCAATCCGTTCCTGGAACCAACCAGTACCTAGCAATGAGTGTAAACTTTCTTGCTCAGGGAAACAACGACTTATCCCTAATGAGCTTTGAACCCATGCGGCTAGTGATCATTAGATTAAAAGTCCCATGCGTTAACCACTGGACCATGCTGCCATTTATATATAATGAGTTCACAACAGAACAGTCGAGGGTCCATTTACAATTTAATTAATTACAATTTTGCTGTTAGTTGAAAGTAATTAATAATATATAAATAAAATCAATGACTTTAACTGTATTATTGTAGTTTATCAATCAAAAATAATAATGAGAAAGAAAATGATTGACAAATAAATTACTTTTAAATTACATGTAACAAAGATGAACGCCGCCTTTCCTTGTTGATCTTGTTTTTCATATTTCAAATAAAAACTCTGTAGAAGAGGCTTTTTGTGCAATTTCTGTTATAACCTGGGGGTATTTATTTCATATTTGGTGCTCATCTAAATAACTATATGATTACATTAACAGTAGTAAGTTCTGTCATCATGGCCATTAAACAGTTTTAACGAATACATATAAACTTGCTACTGATCATTTGTCCATATACTTGTATGTGTTTCATCACATTTCATTGAATATTTTGTTAATGCTAAAAAACTGAAAATTAATTATTGTCCTTTAATTAACTACTTTAATAAGAATCAAGTAAGTGAAATATTTACATTTAATTGTAATTCTATCATGACTTGTATTCTTGTCAGTATAGACAAAGAAGAAAAAAGCCAGTATATATTAGCAAACAAGCACTGATTACGTTTTTTTGGCCTTTCTTTTTCTCCCTCTGTTAAATATATGAAGCTATTCTAGAAAGAATCAACTTAAGAAATTATTCCACTGATGGTAAAAATTTATCGCCATTCATAGTCAGCAGTGTGATGTCATCCTAAGCATGATTAATGTCCCCATAATGACGTCATATAAAAGGTACATGAGTAGAGGATAAAATTGGATTTATATTTCTTATATGTATTTCTTAAATACCTTCATCAGTTGCCTTGAAAACATAAGCCTCTTTATCAATCATGTCCAGCATCTCCTCATTGACATAGCGTACATCAAAATTTGTACCATAGAGTCTAACAACATCTGGTCTGTCTAGGTCTTTGTCTAAACTTTTCAGTAGCTGTATTGTTTGTTCTGACGGTGACCCATCACAAAGTTCTTTCACTGCCAAGGCCAAATCCTGGTCAGTCTGTCTTATAACCTAGAATTAATTTGTTAAACATTTTAAAAAGTACACATGGAACAAGAGCTGTCGGTAGGACGGCACGCTCAACTATTCTTTGTGCTTGATAGTAAAAGAGCCTTGATAATGTAAAATTTTCTAAGTACACAAAATGTCCAATTTTGTTTTTCATATCCATGTTACAGTTATAGGCCTTGGAGAGAGTCCTTTTATGCTCTTAAAGAAGCAGTCATCGAATTAAGCACTGGCCCGGTTGCCCATGGCCAGTGAAAAATAGTTCGGGCCAGTGAAAATTTTAAGAAACTTTAGTTAAATATATAGTAGAATAAATTCAAAACTGGAATTCGGGCTACTAAATTCAAAATCTTAAATTCATTGACTGCAAAAGTGTATAAAATTTCAACTGGTTTCAAAAAACGCCGACGCTCAGCTGACTAGGATAACTCTACTTATTCTTATCGAATAGTTGTGCTCAAAATTAAAAGCATAAGCATGTGTATGTAAAATGAATTGTACAAAAGAAGTATCTTATCATCATTTCATTTAAAGTATGGAAAGGATCCTCCGTTCTGTTTGATCTCAAGAAATTATTCAGTAGAAATTGGCCCTATACAATATGAATTTCTTTAAAATGTTTGAAAAATCAAGTTTGTTCTAAAATACGAATTTTGAATATCTTTAAATATTTTATCCGAAAAGTCAAGATAACTTATGTACCTTTGTTAAGTTTACATGGTGTGGAAATGTACTTTGAAACATTGAACTTTCAAAGCAGTGTTTCCCTTTATCATTTAAGAACTTGTCTGGAACAGGTGGTAACTGCTTGAAATCACCACAGCCAATGACCTGAAAAGAACAAATTGCATTGAATTGTATTTCATTAATTTGCATTTCATTGAAAATGATATGTATTCAAGTAATCATGTGAATTAGTATTATTTAGGTACAATATTTTAATCATAATCAATGAAGTTTTGTAGACTGGGAGAGTTACCAGCACAATATCACTAATCAGTTGCATGTAATTTAATATTAGTTGCATGTTATTTACACTCAGTTAAGGCTTTACTTTATGACCATTAATCATAAGAATAAAAGCAATATGTCTGGTAAAATATATTGGCACCCGAATCATATTTATATGTATTATAGCTGAAATTCTTTTATTTTAAAATGAAAATAAAAAACTCAATAAAATAATACCTGCAAACCTCCAAAGCATTGATCTTTCTTTCTGACACTGCGACAAACACATTCAACCAGTTCAAATATTTTTTGTGTCAACATGCTTATCTCGTCAATGATAAGGCAGTCAGCTTTTTATATTCTCTGCTTAGCAGCAGAGTATTTGTCATCATTCTGATAAAGCTCCTCTAATTTTTCTACAGAATATCGGCCATCCAGAATGCCACTTCAATGATACAGAGTGGATGTATTCATACCTAGCTCCAATGCAGCCATACCTGTGGTAGCAGTAACAACAACTGTTCTTTTCAACTGAGATAGTTGCCTTATTATTTGTCGGAAAAGATAGGGGAAAGTCTAAACTATTCAAATAAGAGTTGATTTTGATTTCTTAATGTCAATAGCATGATAAAATATATATTTCATGAAATCACCAACTAAATCACCCAATTTGAAAAAAAGATGCAATGTCTATGAAAAACTCTATATATTCTCTTAATAACACCCAACCCCTAATAAACAACCCCCTCCCTTTTTGACAAAAAGAAGGAGATTGACTAACCAAAACCATTGTATTTTTCATAAATCCCAGGAAATAAACAGAATAAACACAACTGGTACTTCCAGTATATATAATCCAACAGAAGAGAACATAAAACAGAACATATGTTAACTTATTATAGGTAATTTCATTGCACCAATCATAATGAATTTTATCATCACACTCTGCCAGTGTCCTAGACTGTTGTAATCACATACTGACTGGGATAAACAGGTTTTTTTTTACTTAAACACCTACCTTTAATAATATAACCCCACCCTAAAGGAGCATCTAATAGAGTGTATATGGTATTTGCAATTCTTGTTACTACATATATCTTTGTATGAAAGCATATTTTAAGCTATCATGAAAATGTTGGGTTCATATATAACAGGATTCTACCTTCTTAGGAAATTTAGATGAAACAATTACAAATAATTATATTTAATTTTTTACAGGTTGGGGGTACATTTTGAAGTACATCAAGGAAGCATAACAGCCATTGGTGAAATTTATGAAACTTGCAAAAGTCTTTCATGCATTCTCAGCACGGATGTTGTAGGAAAAGTGGTGAGCCGTTTGTTTGGTGTATAACCATCTATTTTAAACCATAATGGAGAAAAGACTATTGTGTATAAGAATATACGACCAAGGAAAGAGCCAGAAAGTAACATTATCATACTGTAGTTTAATAGAACATACAAATACAATATTAACATTTGAACTGACTATGTACAGAATAATCAATGGCAAGCAGATGAAAACAACTGTAATATTAACCAGCTCTCATACAAAAATGTGTGTTGAAAAACAACCAATATCCCTTGGATATGTGCTTACCCGTAATCAAAACAGTATTGATGGTATTATCATAGGCTTACAAATTATAAGACTCTGCAGTGGTGTATGTTATGATGGAGGAGTTCAAAAAACATTCCAAACTGAAATCATATCAACTGTTAACGATGAAAACTTTTCAAAAAGGATAGCTCGTTCAAAGTCATGTTAAAATATTCTCCCATACTTTGGCAAAACTGAAACTTGCAAAACATGTTTAGATTCATTTAATAGATTCACTAAAAGACTAACATCAAACACTCCAAATGAAGATCAACAAATTGAAAATAAAATAAGTTTAATTAATAAAGAACTATCAATATCAAATACATGTAATGAAGACAATTTAGAAACAAAATCAGAGTCCAGCTACATAATGTTAACGCAAGAGTCTCACACTGACATGGAGATACTGTTGCATAAAATTTTGGAAAAGGATTCAGCTGGTGACTTTAAAATACTGTTAGAATCCCAGGTGAGAAACATCAAAAATAGCAATGATGCTCGTCAGAGGTGCTGGGACCCAACAATTATAATGGTTTGCCTAGGCATTCTGATAAGATCCCCATCAGCTTATAACCATTTAAAGGAATCAGGACAAGCATTGCTGAAAATAAAACAAAACCAGGTAGATAAGATCTTACCCGTAATCAAAACAGTATTGATGGTAGATAAGATACCTTATCATGAATGAAACTCCAATACTTTGGGATCACTAGAGAGAGGCATTTAATTTTAACTTTCAAAATGGTTTTGCCATTCATTATAAACTTATGAACATATAGATATAACACCTGCTTCTAAAAGGCGTAATCACTTGGCAATTGATGTCCTTGATAAAAAATATGCTATATTTAATGAAATCTTATCAGAAGACACTTCCAGAACCAAACATATTGTCATCAACAGTTTCTTACAGACAACTTTGGGAAACACAAATTGTAAATTTAAAGACTTATACAGTTAAAAAAAATTTAATGACTATCGAGACACGGGATGACCTTACTTCATCAAAAGTAGGCTTTTTATCTCTGTGTAATATTCATGTAAAAAATAAAAATTCCATAAATCCCGGATACATGAATTCAGACCTAATAGAAAATTTCTTTTGCCAATAAAGGGGAATCAGAAATGGATTAAACAGTAATCCCACTGTGGCCCAGTATGGGCCTGCAACTACAGGCATAATACTTGGACAGAGCAGTACTTTAAATAAAGGAAATGCTGGTGGAAGTTCAGCTCTGTTTAAGGGACATAAACATGTACCCCTTAATCAAAGGCGAAACAAAGGGGGGAAAAGCCTACATAACCACTTGCGCATATAATATGTGAAACAATTTGACCAATGGAGATCCATGGAACAGTTAAAACAAAATAAGAAAGAACAGTCAATTAACTATGTTTTTAAATTTGCTTTGCATCAAATTCTCAGCTGTAATGATATTCAGAAATCATATGATAAGTATTTTATATTAGACCTGGCATGTATTCACTATTCACCAACTTATGTGAAAAAGAAAATCAACTTAACATAATTTTAGAAACTTCAGTGCAGAAAAGAACTTATGATAGTTTAAAAACTGGACTGACTTAAAATACCTAATAATTATGTTAACTTAAAACTGATCATTTGAAAATGTTTGTATGTCAAATAATGTGATACAATTATGTGATATGTAAATGTTGTTCAATTACATGCACTGTGTATGATTATTTTGTACAATAGAATAATTTAATAATGAATTAACAATTCACTAAGTATTTATGCATATGCAAATATATCTTGATTTTACATAGTTATGATATAATCATTCCAGATATTATAATGACTATTAAAAACATTTAAAAAAAACTGTTTTATTTCTTCTATATATGGTAAATTCTAAGTCGAAAAAGGGGCATAATTCTGTCAAAATGCTTGATACAGTTACCTCCTCCTGTCCACAGGTTGAGATTATGATGGTGAACAAAATGTAGTAAAACAAAATCCCTAAAGAAAGCCCAACACGACAATATTGAAAATGTTGCAGGCTCTGTTTGATTGAGCCTGTTCATGGACGGTTACTGGAAAATGCAAGTTACCGTCCACGCCTCCTAGCACCGGCTTAAGCAGAAAACGGTGAAATTTTGAATTTAGAAACATCCGCAGATGTGTTCATACGGCGGTTATCATGGAATCTTCAATGTGACACAGTAGCGCCATTCCATGAAAAGCGGCGTATGGTCCCCAAGTAAAACAATGCTTTTGCCCTAAACGAGAAAACAATGGGCGGAACGAAATAAAATGGAATTTTGAAAGGGGATCTGAGGTTATGAAGCCTGCATATCACAGATAAGACGTCAAAAGACAAATTTAAAAAGCAGGCAACATATCCTAAGGGTGATTGTACAGTATTCAAGTAGGAATTGTGCAAAGTTTCAAAGGCATAATATTATGTCAATGGACTTAAAAATATTTGAGGTATTACAAAAACTTTAACGTAAATTCTAAGTCGAAAAAGGGGCATATTTCTGTTAAAATGCTTAATACAGTTACCCCCTCCTGTCTACAAGTTGGGGTCATGATGGTGAACAAGTGTGTAAAGTATCAAAGCCATTTGTCAATGGACTTTGAAAATATTGAGGTATTACAAAAACTTTAACATAAGTGGTTACGCCGACGCGGATGGAAACGCCGACGCTCGGGTGACTACAATAGCTCTACTTATTCTTATCGAATAGTCGAGCTAAAAATGTGTTAACTTTTCAAACATTTAAATGTAAATTTCAATTGAATATTTCAAAATTTTACACAGAAATTTTACAATACCAGGCAGAAGCTACAAATAATATCATCTGCAAATTGGATACTTCATTCGTGAAACGGAAACGGTAATTTATCACATGCCAGTGCCTTCGTTTTAATCTCAAAATACAACAAAAAATCTTCATAAATATATGATTTACCTGAGAGTAAATGTTTTTCCTGTACCACATGATCCTGTCATGATAAAGCTATGGCCTTTAATGGCCATTTCAACAGCCACGTTCTGTTCCATTAAGACGCGCGATTTATTGTTGCTCACTACATACGGATAAAGTACGTGATCTGCGTTGTAGAAGCAAAAAATTCACTCCGGGATGACAAATGTGCGGGAATTCCAAGTTTTCCAGTGACGTCACGAAATGGAGTCGGCGACAAACTAAGATCGCGGGAAATAATAAAAAAATGTTAAATTATCCATACATAGGTACGCGATTTAAAAAAGTAATCGGCGGTATTTGATGTATTTATGTATTGTTTATCGAAATGGCCCGATAGATTATTTTGATCCATTGTTTTTGTTGATTTGTTCGAGGTAAATTATGTTGGGGTGGGGAAAAGGCGTTTCATTCCTTGTGTTTATTTATAGTATATAGGGGGTATATTTGGATATTATCATTAATATTGGTTATTTGATAGAATTTCAAGTTCCCGTGGTTGTACATAACAGTTAAATTTGAAAGTGAGTTGAATGTAAACATTATTTGTATTTTGCTCCAAGCAATATAATTAGAACCCCGGATTAAAATTGCTACCGCCACTATATTGGCGAGGCATACGGATAACTGTGACTACAAGTTTTGGTGAATAGTTAATAATATAACTACAAGTTTTGCTGAATAGTTAATAATATAACAATATTCTGGAGGTTTAACTTGTTTTGAAGGTTGACATGTTATGAGAATTCTTATTTTGATCAAGCGGTGTCTGACTTTTATTCCCATTTTGTTTGCTGTTAAATATCTTGAGTTTTCCACATGTTAAGTGTTAAGACAATTATGTGTTTATAATACAGCATGATTCCAACGAAGTTGTTAACAAAACAACTTTATGTAGATGTAGCAATAGACAAGATTATAAGAGCTTGTTACTTTTAAGGAGACATATAAATATTTGGAACAAAGAATTAAGATCTACCGTGGTGGTTAACCTATAAAGGTCATATTTCGCCTCTTGTTCCTTTAATTACAAAAGAAACATTACGCTTGGTATATAAAGAAAGCAATTTAGCTAAGTTAACCTTGTACGTTAATGAGAAAGACCATCATCGTATTAACAAAGCGGTAAAATAAGGAATAAATATCATGTGATAAGTATCGTATAACAGTACAATTTGCCTCTAAGCAGATCCATAAAACGTATATAATTTTATAATTTATGTATACTAAATACGTATGTGATGGAATTAACATACTTGCAAAGATTTGTTTTAAATGGTATGAATATATCCAAACGTACAATACAAACGCATTTTACTATACCAAAAAATTACATATATTTATACATCTGCTGTCATTATTTCTCGACTGGTGATAGGTTTGTAAAA